CCTGGAGGCGGTTCATCTCTACAGTGTCCCTCACGATTACTGGCACGGAATTCGCAACTGTCTCGTGATCCGGTTCCAGAGTACTGGTATTCGGAAGAGCTGAAGAACCAATTGGGACTTCACACTAACTAGATTCACCCCCTGACGAAACGGTTGTCGATTCAGAGGTGAGCAATGCTGTAAACTCCATCGTGGAGGAAAACACCGTTGGTGCTGGAAGCGTGTGTGGGTTGTTCAACCCGTGTTGGAATGTTTAGGCTGTTCCGCTGCGGCAGCGACAAGGATTGCATGAACGCACGGCTAAGTTGTCGTTGTTGTGAGTGGCATGATACTGGAAAAGCTGCTACGCTAGCATTTGTGAGCGTAATGCGGATTGGCTTGCTAATGACATCTCGATAACACTATCTCAATTGAAGAGTGTGGGAGAACCCGGGAGGGCCGCAAAATGCAAAAAATGAATTTAAAGGTACGCTGGCTGGCTTTTTATAAGTGTGCCATTTAGAAGGTATACCTGCCTTAGCGACCCCACGATAGGAATAACGTTTGCGAGGAATAAAACGTTAGTGTTCAAGCAAATCGTCCCTCCGAAAACCGATTTTTTCACTTTTGTAAATCACAGTGATTTACTCCGCCCCACATTAGATCACGCGCCCACGTCGGTGGCTGTAGTTCACTTGAGTTTGGGCGTGCTATTTAGATATGTTGCTCCTGTTATCGCACAATATAGGCTACACGTGCTATCGATTGCGATTTTGCAGTTGACACCAGGGAACAATTGATTTTGGCACTGCGACACATTAATCACGCACGCCTTAGTTTACTGAGCTCAAGTACTATGTATCGTAATGATAATGTCTAGTGTACATGAACGTATCAACATTGTATGGGGTGCGAGGTGGTGACAGCACCTTCGCCGCTCTGGATCACTAATTAACCTTAAGCACAGCTATTTAAAAAAATACCAAGACTTTTAAAAAAGTCACGCTAATTAATAATTGAATTATTTTATTTCGTAATTGATGAGCGTAAACACGCCGATGATTGTCACTTGAGCCGACGCCCATCTCCTTTATAGTCCAATCAGAAATCAGCTGATACAATACTCTCGTTTTGAGTGCCATTTGCCGACTCGCTGGCGCTTACACATGGACAACACCGGACAGCGCTCCAAGTTCGACATGGCGAGCCTATTAGGCTCGGACACAGGTCATGTAAACTCACAGACACCAAACCAGCAACTACCGCCACTTGCCTCCGTGTTACAAAAGAGAAACGACGGTGTGTCAAGATCTATAACAGCGCCGCTGTTATCAACACAGATCATGAAACAAGAGTCTCATCTTTCAGTAAAGGCACCAGAGCCGAGAATAACAAATGGATCGACGAAGCGGCGGTCATCTGAGTGCGAGGACGAGAAAGATGCGTCGACACCCACGTCGAAGCGGTGTCGGGGCAAGTGGCGTAAGCCCACGTACCTCGTCCGAAAGGTGAGTGCGACAAGAAGGATAGTAAATGATAAGGTTCTTAACTGGCGCATTTCTTTAATGTGTTAATCTGTGTTGCGTAGGAAGAGAAATGTGAGTTATTGGAACATATCAAGGAGCTGGAGAGTCAGGTGTCATTTCTACAGAACCGCACCAACATCGTGGCATGGCAGAAAAAAGATCGTCAACAAATCGAGACTGAGATCAAGAACCACGTGTTGCGCACCTCGGTGAGGCAGCAGCAACTACGAGTTCTGTCAGCGCAGTCCGCGCTGTCAGAGCTCACACATACCGTGCACAACCGATGCCCACTCGAGACCTACATCCACCTCGTACGCGACTGGGCCTAAACGCACCGAAGTGCTGACGAGTCTTCGTGCGCAACAATGTCGAGACGCGGCAGAACTTGGTGGAGAGACGCACTCAGTTTATGACCGAGGCGCGTGAGTACACAGGAGACGCTCAGATCCGTCGATGAAGCGGGTGATGTCTGCTCCATTCGCTTTGACATCACCCCATTAGAGGGTCTCAAAACAGTCGCAGAGGCCTTCAAGTTCATCCAGTTCCACATTAAACACATGCACACTAAACCTACGACATCCAAGTACATATGTACGAGCGAGTTGGGCGCTGAAAAGAACATCATGCATCGTCGTCTCATCATCTCCGAGGTCGAGAATGTGGCAACAGAGACCAACTTTGTCATGTTCTCGGAGCAGTGGCCAGGTGCGAACCGCCATGGCATGTGTGGAGATACGGATAAGGCATTCGACCAAGGTGTCATGGTCACGAACTTTGTGGACGAGGACGACTTGTATCCGTACCGCCCGCAGAACTGTGTCCGCTTGGATCTCAGCGGTGTTATGGCGCTTAGATCTTATCGAAAGCTTGTTAAAACGCCGAAGGGAGAGGACAAGGAGGTGTCTGCAGTGGTTCTTACACGGTGGATGCTGCAGAAGTTGCGTCACACTGAGCTACCGGTGCCAAAGCACGTGCTACAGACCATGCGTGATCGCATCAACGAGCCGGGCAATGCTATTCTCCGCGCCGTGAAGAAAGCACGCGCAGGCGTCCAGCTCGAAGCCAACGACATTAAGGTGCTGAGCGTGTAGCAGCTTTCGCATTCCGGTTGCAGCAGTAGGACCTACACCTCTGTCACCGAGGTCACAAAGTGTGGATACGAAGCAGTGGTGATTGTGGCGCCCACAAAAACAGAGGCTCACCGTTTTTCCTTCTTTGGTGTCATCACTAAACAAGGTGCGCTGCAAGAAAAACAAGCTTGATGTGGGCATCGATACAGTACAGTATCGTCAGGCTTACAAGACCGACTGGGCTGCCATGTAAGGATTCCTGAAAAACAAGTAGATTTGTTTCGGTGGTGGTTGGTCCATGAATCGCTTCAAGTTGCGCTGAATGATGCTTTCAAAACTTCCCTTTTACATAACCTTGCTATGACGTAGTACTTCTATTAATAAGTATCTACTTTAGTTTTTAAAAGGCTTCGTCTCTTGTCTAACACATCTTTTCAATTAATTATCTTAAATCCGTATATTTTGTTGATGCAATAAACGATTGGCGTGGCGATGCTGCGGGCGGATCATGTCAATGCGCCCACTTGCAACATTGCCCGCGCGGTACCGCTCCTCCGTCGCAGCCTTCGCCGCTCGACTTTTCAAATTGCTCGGCGACGAAGAGGCGACTGGTTTCTTCAATGCGCGAGCCGATGGACACACCCGAGACGTCGCATGCGAACCGGTCGACGTCGCCGCCGCTGCCACCCGATCGGTCTCTCTTCCAGCGATCACTAGACGTCTCGGCCGACTGCCAGCGGCCTCTACCGCACTTGAACCCACTACCGCCGCGGTCTCCCACGCTCAGAGACAACAGTGACAAGACGCTGTTGGTGTTCCTGTACCCAGACGGAGCCACCGCTGCGGGTCTAACGCCTATTCGGGCCATGTCACCGCGCTCAGTTGCAGTGGCAGGAGCCGAGACGCAGGAGGTAGAGCCTCTTGGGAAGGCCGTCGACAGAGCGGTGGACAGCAAGAAACGCACTCGCGACTTTGACTACCACATAGCCAGCTCAGACGACGGGACGGAGGGCGAGACACCGCGCTCTCGGAAGCGCAGCAACTCGACGTGTAAAGCCAGGAAACCCACGTATCTTGTCCGGAAGGTACATCTAGATATGGATAGCAACAACATGGGAGGCTACGAATTTATATGACGTAACAGGTTTTTGTGGTATTACTTGTAGGCGGAGAAGGACGAGTTGACGAAGCAGATCGACAAACTAGAAGCTCAACTGGAATATCTCAAACACACTGCGTCCATCAGACCCGAGTGTCTCGAACGAGCACGAGGGGACCACAAGTTTTTCGAGCAGGAGATGCACAACCATCTACTACGTGAAGCTGTGCGCAACCAGCACTTTCAGCTCTTCAGTGCTCAGTCCGCGCTTTCGGAACTCTCGGTGCGCTGTTAATCCGGACCTAGAGAAGCCACTTTTTATTACGATACTGACATTTATTTTTTTATCAACCTAGTATTCTATTCAACAGGACCAATGCCCGATCAACACGTTTATCCATCTCGGCTGTGATATCCAACAACGTCGCTCAGTTTTAGAAGGGATGAAGGCGCAAAAACTGCGAGATGCCAAGCAACTTATGGATAAACGTATACAATTCTTACGAGACCCAGCCGAACAACGTCGTGAGACCGCCCAGTTCCCTACAGACTCGGGGTCTCTATGCTCTGTGGTCTTTGACGTGCACCCGCTCGACTCTGGCGTGGATGTGGAGGACATCAAACACGCATATCGAGCAGCCTCGGCATACGCTAAACGTATGGGCACCATGGTCCCTCCCTACACTGGAGAAGAGTCTGGTGTCGTGCACAGTCGCCTTCAAGTGGATACATCGCCGGATCTGCCCACGGAGTCGAACTTTGTGGTCTTCTCGGAGCTGCAAGAGCCGAAGTTTGTATCTTCCCCAACCGATACGAACGAGAAGAGGAATATTGAGCCTCTTGGGCTACTGGTAATCGATTCAGTGGATGAAGATGAGCTGCATCCCTTCCGACCGGATAAATTCTTAAGAGAAGACGTCAACGCAGTGATCACGATTTCCAGAGGATCTCGACGTGTTCACAAAGGCAAAGACCACGACAAACTCGTGCCGTGTCTTGTGTTGACTCGCTGGGTGTTGCTGACGTTGCGACCGGACCAAAATGGTGTTGCGTCCACGAAGGCGATGGATTTCCTACTTCAGACGTCCATCAACATGGGAAACGACATGCTACACGCAATCCAAGATGCAAAAACTGTCGATAGAGGTGGCTACAAGCCTTGGACCATTACGCGTTGTTCTCAGACTTCACAAGATGAGGCGGAATAGGAAAGTTCACTGTAGTACCTGTAGAAACGAACTAAAACGTGCGTTATTATTAAACGATGTACGGTCATACTTACTTTACTGTTAACACCACACATTTTTTTGTATTAAATGTGGTTAATGTCTTCTGCAGAGCGGAGGAAGACCCCCAAATGGCGGTAACATGGCTGCTGTCACAGGAGGAATGGCAGTTGGTGGCAAATCTCCAGAAGGCAAGGTTGGTTCCCGTGGAGATAAAGCGTAGCGTACGTTATTCAGCATAGCCTCACCCACCTGTTCGATGCCGTTGCGAAGACGTTGCGTTGCTTCGAACGGCAAGTGAATCGACGACTTGCGGATCCGGAGAAGTGACCAGCGAGTAAGAATCACCAGCTGCTCCATTTCCACGGGTCCAGTTTGCATCGGAGGCCTCACTTTGGGCCTCGTACACGTCGAAACGAGCATCAAAACCGTCACATCTTGGCGGATTCGACGGCCTGGCAGATATGGATACAATTCGTCTTCATTTACGAAGTCGCAGGCTAGCACACCAAGCTCTTCTCCATGCCCCAATGCCCCTAAATCCTCGGATTCATTTGGCAACTCAACGCCAAGAGCTGCCGGACCATTTCGTTCATAGTACTCTGCAAACAGGGCATTGTTTGTCTCCATTTCTGCCAGGTTTGCCACGTTCGTAACGAATCTTTGTTGCGACACTGATGGGTCCCAGTGGTCGTCGTTTTCCTTGATGGTAATATCTCCCAGTAGCTCCGACAAACTTATCTCTAAATTGTACGAAAAATTCTGCAGCACGTCAAAAACTGTACGTGCTGATCGGACACCTGCAAATGGAGTCACATCGAACCCCATGTAGCAGAAATCTCCGTGTGCATTCTCAAACTTCTGATTGTCGGAAAACGCTGTCGACGGGTCCATGAATCTCCGTCTTGCTACTAGAAACTGCAGCGCGTCGTGCAATTTCCTTTTCTTCAGCGATAGCAACGTGGCGTGACGTTCCACAGGGTCTTTCCCCAGCTGGATAAAAGTTTCGAAAGGACTGTGCTCTTGCACGCGCATGTACTGCGCAATCATGGACTGGGTATTGGCAAATGCCAGTCGTTGCGCGTGAATAACGCTTCGGATTCCCCTGTTCTCCTCCTCTAGGCGGCGCATCTTTTCTTTGTCCTCTAAAACGGTGTTTTGCCGCTTGTATTTTTGCATTTCCGTCTGGAGCTCCTCGTATTCTTTGCCAAGAATGGCAAGTTCCTCTTTCCGCATGTAATATGTTCGTTTCCGAGGTTTCTTGGGTTGGGTTGCACTGATGTGTTTGCCCTTTTGCTTGCCATTTACCGCTTGGGCCGCTGCACGTTCTTCTTCTTCTATCTCGCTGTTGCCAGCAGGTGAAGTCGTGAGAGAAGACGCAGCTGACGGAATGTCTGGCTTGATGTCGACCTTCCAAAGCGAGGTGGGAGGAGGGGGCGCTACCGACTGCATAAGGGACAGCAGTGCGTGCGCAGATGCCGGGGGGCTGGGCGCTGAAGCGTCGTGGCCAGCGGAGAGCGAACACAATGCACGAGGCATACCGGGCTTAAAGGTAAATAGGGCAATGCTTTTTGGAAAAGTACTCACAATTTACTGGCAGTAATGAGAATTACAAAATGTTTTTTTTTAAATATGCTGTGAAGATCTGAAAAGAAGTACAGAACTACATGTACAAGTAATACAAAGTGCCACGACAGCGATTACACTCAGAAATCGTGAGGTGTATTTTTTACGGATACAACGCTTGTTGCCAGTGCTCTTGATGCGAGTTGCGCCGCAACCTGCGTATCGCACTTGTGAGCACGGTGATTCTTTGTTGTCGTATTGAAATTTATCCAAAATGATTGGGAATCTCCGGCTGCTATCCTGCTTAAGCCAATCGTAGAGACAGAAACGCTGTACGTGGCAGGCTATTAATTGCAAAGAATTCTGCAACAAATAGTGGGTCTTTTCGACAGCCAGAATGAAGGGGAAGGGCTTCGAATTTGCAGAATCCGACGTCAGATTCGGAGGCATGTACCACCACGATGTCGTCTTTTGTTTCATTGCTGGCTGTAGCCCCCCGCTTGCTGCTTGGAGAAGCCACACCAGCAGCTGCGGACAGATTCGGCCGGCGTCGTGGATACTTGGCGACCATCACATGGAACGTTATGTCTTGAGTCAAGACTCTTGACGTACACGCTCAGATACGCAATAGGGATGCAGCTCGTCTTCTTCGACGTAGTTGCACACTGCGATCCCCACTTCATCGCCAACCGCTCGGTCTGTACGAGGACCCGTGCCGTCACCCCAGTACTGAGTGAAAGTTACATTGTTCATGTCCACCTTGACAATTGGAGAGATTGAAGTCACCAGTCCGGATTGTAATGTCGCCAATAAGGTCTGAAATGCTAATTTCCAGGTTGTAGGAAAACTTGAGCACGCCGTCAAATGCCTGCCTAACTGTTTGAGCTTTTGGAAGTGGCTTGATATCAAAGCGAGCTACGCAAACGTCTCCGTTATCGGACTGGAAGCGTTGCAAGTCGGTGAATTCTGTGTCTATGGCCATGTATCTTGACCGCTCGGCTAAGAAGTAGACCGCCTCCTGCAGACGCTGCTGTTTCATACAAAGTAGTGTATTGTATCGCATTCGCGGGTCCGTCCCAAGTCGAATAACGGGCTCATAGCGACTATGATCCTCCGCTCTCTGCATATATCAAATCACATATTTAGAGTCTGTCAGAATTATTATCCCGGCCAAAAAGGCTTGGACAAAAATGGTAATATATTTTATCTTAAATTAGAGGAATGTAACTCCGCAACCGTAGAGCCGATTTCGTTGTGTGTCCCCTTAATAGATAGCTTGGTGTCTATTTATTCTCGTAAGAACTTCACAGCATCTAATAATGTTCACTACTTTTCAAATGGTCGCCGGTAAGAAATTGACTGCTGCTGAGAAGTACTTGGTTGTGAAGACCTACGAGTTCCTCCGCCAAAAGAAGGCCTCTGCACCGCATCTATGGAAAGGAGGAGTTCGTTATCATGTCAAAGAGTGTTTAGGCTTTGCTACGGGCACCATTTCAGCTATATGGGCGCACTGGGAGCAGCACCACGACAAGAATTTCACCTCGGTAGGCTGTACTTCATATCATTTCAGTTATTATTGATATTTATCATTTCAGTGGTCGACAAATTAATCATGACAGATGGAAGGTCCAAAACCATCTGGGAGGCCTCCAGAAATACGAGACAAAATATCTGCAGCAAGGTGATGAATGCGAAATTGCATCGGAACCAGAGGGCAGCAACGAGGACACGGAAGAGGATGACGCCGTCGATGACAATGAAGCTGTAGCCGATTAGGAATATGAACGGGTGACCCGTTGTATGTTCTTTACACTCTAGATATTCTTTTGACGGGTTCTTTTTAACAAGTTTATAATTTTCTAACAATCGTCAAATTGCGGTAATATTTGGAATTTATCAATCCGGTTCTGAAAATCCCCACCTGTTATCCCGGCTCTGCCAATGAATATGCATGCATGTTAGTACGTGCCAAGCCCACAATTGCAAACAATTCTGCAAGATATAGAGCCTTTTTTAAACGGCCGATTGGGAGATCAATGGTTGCAGATACGCAAAAATAGACCTCAAAATCGGAATCTACACCCGATTTTACCCCTTATATCTAACTATCGTTATGGGTTTTGTGAAGGGAAGGGTTACCTTTTTTGGACCAAAGTTTGTCCAAGGTTTGGTGGCCGGGATAATAGAAACGCAAATAGCAAGCTACTTTGATTGAGTGTGTGTTGGCAAAGACAATCCGTTGTCCCCGAATAGAGTCCCGTAGCTCTTGGTTTTGCCGCATTCGAGTCATACTCCGTCTTAAGTGTTCCAGATGAATGCTCATCGCCTGCCACTTCTTCTCCAGCATCTCTTTTTCCTCCTACGACGGTTGAATCAATTGTAATCAGCATAACACAGCCATAACTTATGCTAGAGCAAGTTCACGGGTATTAATAATACCTTGCGTCGATAGTAGGTTCGGGAACGCAGCTCCGAATTCAGTTGTTTTTGTCGCTTCCTGTCTCCTGCCGTCGCCGCTTTCGAGACATTCGCGAGCTGCAGCGGTGGAGGCGTCCAGAGCTTAAGCTGCTGATACTGGCGCTTTTCGGCTGAGGCGCTCCGGCGTTCAGCACGGGAGACGGAGAGGAATCCTGCATTGTACGTCGAGATCTACAGTTTCGATTGGCAAATGTAGGGCTAGGGGTAAAGCTGGTTTTACTTACTTTTTTAATAAAAAGTATACAAAAACTAGACCCATCAGTCATCGCTTGGCCGCAAAATTGGCTCGGATTTATCTTGATTTCTCGTTATAAAATCCGGAGAAATCCGAAGGCCCAGTCTTACATCTCGCGGGATGCCGGGACACAAATCCCGCTTATGGTTGACACCCACCTGATTACTACACGTAGACGGCAGTTCAGCAGTCTGTACGCACGTTGAGTGTAGCGGGGTACAATCCATCGTACCCCAGGTTACATAAAGCGTGACCCGTCACTCTTGTGGACACTTGGTACTTGGTACCAGGTGCTCTCAGAGCCAGTCAGGGCATGACTACCTAGCTCCAGCTCCACTATAGATAACATCTAGTTTGTATGGAACCCAAACTAATATTACATCAGTCTTACATCTACTTCTCTAAGTAGCAAACCGTTCCCTTTGAGGCCAGGAACACGTGGACTAACGTTCACTCGGGTAGTTAATACCCTTCCTCTGTGCAAGGTGTTGTGTACCCGTCACACTTGGTACACTCGTAGTCAATCCTACACCTTCGCGGGTAGAATAAACTACCTGAATTCTCTGTGCTCTTGGCGTTTGAGCCACGATGGACCGAAGTGAGTTTCGTCGCTTGAACGACTCACAGTACGAGTCTATTTGGAAGATGGGAGGCATCTTTGGACAAGATGTCCTCCGCAGCTTAGCGGTGACGACGCCTGCCGAGCAACATGAACGTGTGGCTGCATTTGAGACCTACGAGCGTGGTCTCATCGCTCACGTCCGCGGGAGCTTGGGGGCCTCGGGTGGCCGCTCCCCAGGCAGCCAGGCCTAAGCCGATAAGACTGGAGGTCCCCGTATTTGAGGGGAAGGAAGGAGAGAGTCTTCCCTTTTGGGTCCGGGAGGTGGAGATTGCCACGAAGGCAGGTCTCATCTCGGACGTGCCAGGTCGGGTGGCTTTCGCTCTGTCCGACCTAGGTGGACATGCCAAGCACTGGGCATACACCAGGGAGACGACATCTCCTGGATGCTTTGCATCCTGGGCTCAGCTGTGTGAACAGCTTCGAGCCACGTTCCTACCGGCGAACAACGAGCTCCGCCAGCGCCCACGCTTTTTCGTGTGTAAGCAAGGTAAACGTGAGCTGCAGGAATACGTGCAAGAGATGCGCACGTTGGTGGCATCTCTGGCAGAGAACCTTCTGTCTGAAAACATCAAGACAACATTCTTCATGGACGGCCTGAAGGTCGGTCCTGCTCGCACCCAGCTATTCCGGGTGCAAGCAACAACTATGGAGGATGCGATTCGAATCGCTCTCCAAGAAGAGTACTGCCACAAGCAAGCTGGTACTCCTCGGGAAGAGGAACATTGCCACGCTGAGGATGGCGTTCCTCGGGGAGCGGAGCACCGCAGCAATGACGCGTTTGCTCCTGCTGCCACGCAGGCCGTTGATACCGGTGCGTACAGCGATCCCGAGCCCATGGACTTAAGCTCAGTCGAGAGCTTGGCCCGCTGCTACGGATGCGGCGGACATGAACACTACCAGCGTGTGTGTCCCTCGCCAGTCCTCGGGAAGAAGACAGCCCGTGGACCCCAGGTCCGGTGGCGCAGGTCACGGCCAGGTGGACGAAGACTCCACGGCCACCTGTAGAGGCGGTATGACCTACTGAAGAGCGCTAAGTTTTCGTGATGGGTGTGCAGGCTGTGCACACCACGGGACTTACCACAAGAGAGACGTGGTTATCTCAAACCGGTGAAGGGCAGTGACGGGCTGCTGGTAGTACACTCGGTGTACGGGGGTACGGTAATTCTTGAGCGTTTGATACGTTCTGAGGCGTTAATACGCCGCCGGAACGTCGCTTGGTTTAGCGACACCCGACTGCATTATATGTCAGAGTGGCGGCCTTGCGCTGGTCCTAGGTAAACGAGCCTTTGGTACGGTGAAGTAAGTATTAATGGTCCTCAACGGACCTGAACGTTTGGGTTCGGTGAACTTGCGCATCGCGGTTTCGCTCGCAGTACTCGCCATTAACAACATGGATATGCCGAACACAAGACACGGCCCGGTCTTTGGCGTGGCAAGACTGAGAAGGGCCTGAGCATTGGTGAGTCATGTTCCCACCTCCGTCATGACTGGGGCGTCTTATTCAGACCGCCAGGACGCAGAAGCGCCACGGAGCTGTCAACGCACCGACAG